AAAAGTTATATTTTTATAAAAAAAAATATGTCATTGAATCGTAGTCGTATTTAAAAAATAACACATAATATTACATAAATATAATAATATAAATAATATAAATTATTATCGTTGTAGCTTAATATTTTGAAATATGTATATCACACAATGTTAGATGACTTGTCAGGAACATATTTTACAGAATAAAAGTTAATACATTTTACAGAAATTTTTATAAAAAAAAAACATGTCATTGAATCGTATTTAAAAAATAACATAAATATATCACACAAAGCTAGAAAAAAAATAATTACATAATTATAAAAAATCCTATAGATATATAAATTATAAATTGTTATCGCTGTAGCTTAATATTTTGACCTATAGCTTTCAAAAATCTTGGAGTTCAATTTTATTGAATTTTATTAGATTGAACTCGTTGTCATTGCGATACCGATTCTCAAGACCCAGTTCTTGTATTTTTCGGTGGGTGCTTTGTGTGAGATGATAAAAACAACCACGGATATTATGTTCACCTAAGATATTTTTTGCAGCTTTAATCACAGCAATTTCAAAATCCATATTTATTATTTATATTATTATATTTATGTGATATTATGTGTTATTTTTTAAATACGACTACGATTCAATGACATATTTTTTTTAAAAATATAACTTTTTTTCTTTGAGACTTTTTTTCCGGAGACTTTTTTTCCTCGAGACTTTTTTTCCTACCATCATACCACGGGGCCATGCCATCGTACATTTATTGAATATATTATAATATGATGTAGCTAGGGAAATGTCCCCCCCCCCTCGGGTACTCCACTATCTATCTTACATTGTATGCGCATATTATGTCATATACCTATACGTGGTTTAAATAAGCGTTCCGTTTCCGAATTCCGTCTGTCCTTTATGGCCATGGCACGTTTCGCGTGATATTAATATTATTATTATATACAATATAATATATATTATATTATTATTATACATGATCTTATCGCCCGTAGCTCTCTGCTCCAAAACGACTACATTTCCTATTATTAATCCGACAACACGCTGCAGGCCCCACGGTACGGGAGGGGGTAGTGTTTAGGGGCGAGGTAAATTGTTCGCGTGGCACACCGGAGATAATAATATAATGATTACGCCGTTGCTATATGTGCATGTACAGAGTGGTTGTTCTATAGTAGACCAGACATTATCTTAGGTCACAGTAGTGGACTGTGGTGGCCAAGATATGTTTGTACTAAAATTAAATACGATGACAGTCCATGTGGATAATCGAAGTGCAGTGAAAAACATTGGAAAATAATTTAATTACTTTATATTCAGCAAAGACTTCCCTGTGTTATTGTAACAAATATAATATTATCACAGATTGTACGAACTTTCACATAATCTCTGGTACTACGTTAATGCGACGATTTTACAAATGGATTGTGAAGGAAAACTCGTAGCTCTAAATCTAAAATACTTGGTAACAATTTATGGTGAACCGAACGTGACCAGTAATATTATAACTTTGGAAATCCAAGGAATTTAAAAATGTTTTTTTTTGTCAAACGATTTGAAACTTTTTTCATGATTATCACTTATCAGTTAATTTATTCTTGAATTTTCTAAGTCAATGGTTGGCACGATAAGATACGACCACCCTGTATATGTTTATTTATTCACTCGTAATGCGCTCATTGTCGGACTGGTACATTATATTATTATCATCGTCGTCGTAGTCGTCGTATTTGTCGTACGACAAACGACTCGACTGCAACGGGACAACGATGGGAGTAAAGTTGTGCACGAACTCCGGCGAACCGTACCCGACGAACGGCACTGCGGGGAAATGGAAATCGGAGACGGCTGACGCAATTTCCCCAGCAGCTCGGTGCTCTACGAGCGCGACAAACAAACTACCGGGCCTCGGAGCGCGAAACGAACGAAAAGCATTATTATTAAATCACCGGTCGTGCGAATAACGTCCGCGAAAAAAAATGTTTTGCTCTTCCACGGTGACGGCAGTGACTGCAGCTGCAGTGTGTCGATGTGACGCCGCCGACCGCTCGCAGGAAGTCATAATAATCCGCTATATGTGCATGCCTAACGAAAGCGATGAAAAACGATCCGAAAAAAAAATGGACGCCCGGTAGTGTAATCTGTTTTGTTTATTCACAATAACTACGGAGGGACCTGTCCGATTGTATCCATGATATAATAGCATGACGTTAAGATGATAAACTGTTTTTACTCACCAAAAATGAATGGAAACACACGCACACACACTGCAGACGCACGTAGTGTATAGTAGTTGTAGTATTAATTTTACTTTTTTAGGTTAAGGTTTTTTTTTACAACTGCTAAATTTTGTTCACATTTTTTTATTGTCTATACGTAATATAACGAAACTTCAAACTTGAGTGCTGTACCTACTGGTGTATTATACAGGTGTACTATATAGGTAATATTGAAATACTGATCAACATGAGCATAATACATATTATAGTTTGGATACTATAGAGAATGGCTCAATTAAGAAATTATAAAATAGAAATGCGATTATGTGTAGTGTGTACACTATAATTATAAATACACCAAACATTAACAACCATAAATAAAGTTATTCATTTATGAGTACGTCAAGAAAATATATTAATACAAATTAACAATACAGTGATAAAGTAAACGGAGTAAAAAATGTAGCTCTACATTAATAAATACAGGAAATATAATATAACAATCGAATAACTGCGTGTATATTTATGCAGTAGGTACTGCAGTAGTCATAAAATACTATATTTTAACTTTGTTGTTTTGTTGTAACATAGACGCTTAATATACAGAGAATATAATTTATCCAACAAAAACAACAGAATAGTAATGTTCTCCATAGTTGTGTACAATGCGATTCATTACCTAACTATACTTTAGAAATTATGATGCAACTCCCAAAATAAAATATAATGAAATAAATCAATGAAATAGTTCCGTTAAATACGTATTTGATATTATTTTTGTAAATTGTTATAACTTGAATTTGAATTTCTAATTTTATTTAAAGAGTCTATGGGTTAGTTATAGTTTGAAATAAGTGAGATTGTCTTCATATATATATTAATTTAAATTTAGTAAAAATATTTAATAATCCAAAAGTTCTGTGATCGTTACGTTTAATTTAAAGCAAATAGATACATGCTCATTACTTACTAAATTTTAACTAGGTATTATTAGAGATTTTTTGTTTTTTGAACAACCTAACAGCACAAAATATAATATTGACACACTGAAAGTTGATTCTACGTTCGATATTAATTGACTATACGAAATTACGAAAATATACTTGGTTATAAAATAAAATGAACGATCAAATTTTTTAACAGTGCTTTTATATTATTTATAGGTATTGATGATAATATTTATTTTAAAACGCTTTTACTTATATTTCCATTCTTTCTATTTTCGTTTTGTATACGAAATACGAGTAAAAAGGTTTTTGTTTTTCAGCCGTTTTTGTGAACTTAAATATCACCACAATATAATATAATATAAATGTACGTAATAAAAACACCGAGGAGGAAAAGAGGATGCCTATTTGAAGAATGTTTCCAACATTGGCGACGGTGTATTTGTTAATTTAAATAATACGAGACGTTCGCCGCATGCAAAACACACGCATTGTTGTAATTATGCAAATTTCCGCACTTTAGTGCAGATTCGCCCCGCGTGTTATTATTGTTAAGACCCCTACGGAAAAACTAAACGATATAAATGACGCCCAATGCATTGTAATCCACTGGCATAGCAGTAAATTTATTATTTTTAACATATCATCGTTCTCCCCGCCAATATTTGTTTTGAATTTAACATTAAAAACCAACATAACTTTCCTTTGATACATTAATTACAATTTCAACATCATCATTTTTCGTATAATAATATATGAACTTAAGCATAACATTATTTTTACCACCTCATAGGGGTTTATTTTTAATACATTATGTTCACCCATTCTACCACTGAATAGTGATTTTTTAGTTGTACTTTTCCAATTTCATCAAATGTTTTGGTAGAAACAGGAGGAGAAATAAATTGTTGGTCCATCGATGAAGTAGCCTAAGGGGAACTTTTAAAAGAAAAATAACGAAGAAACGGTGTTTTCGCGTGTTGTTTTTTTTTCGTTTTCACCCTCTATACTTCTCCACTTCATCGGCACAATCGTTAACACACGGGATCATTATTTACTTTGGACTTGACGGTAGAGGAAATTGTAACACACTAGAGATCTTTTTATGGTCAGAATAAATTGGCAACTGCTATGGCAGTTGAAAATTCTGTCGCAAAGCCGAAAATAAAGAGAGCATGCACCATTTCTAAAAATCCGGTAGAGGTTAATTTGTATTTATTTTACTTGTGCATTGTATGATTATAGGTTTGTAATATTCTAATAAACAAAATTAAATACAACTATTAAACAGATGTAGCCTTATTTTCTATGAAATACATAGGTACCTACATGTTAGAGTGTGTGGTACTTGCGTACTGTTTTTAAAATTTGATTTCATACCACCATCAACTACATTATTAAACAAAAAATGAGTTCAGTTTCATTATAAAATAATGATAGGTAATCAACCATACATATAATTTTAGTGTCTCGTTAGACAAATTGTATTTATGATACTATTTACGTTTCGAAAAGTACACATACTGCCCTATTAAATGCCAACATAACATATTTGACCCTTTAAAAAACAAACATTTAACCTTTCCTGAATAAAACGGTATTAAAGGTTGAAATCATCAGTGGTTGTAAATATCAACAAACATTTTGAGTGGAAAATATAAAAACCGGGAATGCATTTCCATTATAATATTTGCACGATGGGTGATAATTAGTTAATAAACCCATCCTGATTAATTAAAATATATAGTTACACAGTACCTTTTCATTACACAAATCATAATGTAAAAATATATAAACAAAATAACTAACTCACCTGCAGCTGGTGATAGTTTTGTCATAACGCCCCATCTGTGTCTCCACTGTAACAGGAAAATATTATAATAATTTAACATTCTATGTTGTATATATATCATGAATAACCATAAATAATGTAAATGAAAAAATAGCATCAATATTTATATATTGATGCTTAATATATTAAATGTAAATGTACCAATATAATATGACATGTCAAAAATATAAAAAACTGGGTAGGTATTTTTTTACTGACTTTTTAAAATTATACAAGAAAAATTATTTATGGCACATACGACACGTATTTTGATTGAAAAATTCACTTGACACACGTACACACAACTATAAACGAACTTTAGGGAATGTTAAGAATTCTAAAAATATGAATAATATTTTCATTTTTCAAGCATAATACATCATGTACTCTGTAGGATTGAAGACAATTTGTTCGACTTGAAAATAATGTCCTAACACATTCTACAAGTTTGTTTTATTCATAGTTGAAGAAAGTAGTTTAATCAAGTTTAGCTTTAATTCATCGCGAGTGATGGTATATTAACTTTACACTGTCACACTGAGTAATAAAATATCTAGATTTGTGTGAATACCTATATTGTATAATCTGTTGTCTATTTATATTAATTTAATATCAGTAACCAGTAGATATTCAATCAATGATATTACACAACATTTTCAAGCTAATATTATTTAAGTAAATATTTGAATTGAATTTAAAATTGCTTAAATATGAAGATTTTACAAATATTAAATACACTTTATAGTTTATACTCTCACTACATAATATATCAGTAAAAATCAACACTATACAGTAATATAATATTATTGAATATTATAAATTATAATTTAATTTAATCAGTTAAAGAGTTATTGTACAAGTTTTATACAAAATGTGACATTTAATTTAATATAATAAGTTAAACATTTTGGTTTATGTCCACGTTTAATAAATATTCATTTTAATGTCAAAAAAAAACGGTTTCTTTGTACACTAAGGTCAATATGTATAAACAGTTAAAGATATTTAAAAAAAGGATATTACAAAAGTTGACAATAATTTAGTTTCATTTAATTTTGTATTTTTAACAAATTTCAATTCGACCAATACTTAAAAAAAAGTAGGAGCAAAATTACAACATTTTTGAAAAGCATTAAAAGTTCAAACTTAGACAAGGGTTAACTTTTTCTAATTGATTCAATATGTTGTGTAAAACATTTTTTGTATGTGTTTACACTATGACAATATGAAAAAAGTTGAATTTATTATCTACTGTTAAGGACCACCCTAATGAACTTATTCTGGATAGTTCTTTAAACAATAACTAGAATGGTACCTAGGTATACATAGCTTAATATAGGATTGTTGAAGTGTGGTTTTTATAAAAATTTAGATGAAATAAAATATTACGTAATATATTATAATTCATAAAAAACTTTAAAAAATATATCAAGTATTAGGGTTTATACTATAAATTTGAAGAACAGATGTTTATGATATCACATAATGTGTGATATGACACACAAGTATACAACTATATCACATAAATAAGCACCTACTCGTATGAAAAAAAAAATGTATCGATTATTTAATTAGATTTATTGTTTTTATATAGTATAATATATTATGCACCTACATATTAAGATATTATGTTCTTTGTATCTTAATAGGCATATGATATTGTGTAATATATTATCGTATTACCTACATAATAATATTATACCTGAAACTGTAACCGAAACTATAACTGCTCGTTGTACGGGTATTTAATTCGAACCCCGTCCGACCGACTGTGTCATCGTTACAACCCATCTAATACCCGTCAACCACACCCCGCGGAGTTCCGGTGCTGCAGGCCGCCCGCGCAACTCGAGTTGGGTGCGAGAGAAATCGGTAAACGACAATGAACGAGCGCTGTATTGGCAGTGACCCAGGCGCAGGATCCGCCGATCAAGACACCATCCCCCCCGAAACTTTTCGTCCGAAAGAATGGCAAAGGCCAGCATGACGATCTGCATAATAATAATAATAATATTATTATGCACCCGAACTTGTGACCATCGTATTATTATATTATTATATTAAGCCTCAGAGCTTAACACGCACTCTGACTTGCTAGAACGAACGTTAAAAATATTGCAAATGCACCCATATATGGGTATATTATAAATAATTAATGGTGGTTACGAACATTTAAACAGGTGTAGGAATATTATATCGAACAACCGTGATGTAATATAAAAATGAAATAGTAACGAGAAGACCAACGACGAATTATTTGCCACAATAATCATTTCATTCATACCATTATACAATGTTGAGATTTATAGATATTTACCTATTAAGTATTGACCCGATAAACGCCCTAATGCATTATTACTATGCAATGTGATGTAGGTATAGTTAATATTTAAACGAGCTCGTCGCAATATCACAGTAGAGCCATATCTTTGAGATTAAATTTACATACAGTAAGCAGTATAATAACTAGAAATTATCAACAATAATATGGGTACACCGTTCTAATGACATACTGTAATACCCGATCCGAATAGCTTGTGAACATGTTGCATAATGTCGATATTGATCATAATAAAATGCATAAATAAAAAATGTGATAATACATGAATAAGCTCTAACATTTTATTTTTATCAGTTGAAGTGTATGTCATACTTATTGTGAATATTTCATTAGAAATTGCCAATTGGTAAATGTATAGTTAATAATAGTCATTGATCATTTTCAGGCATTGGTAATTTGTATAACCATAGAGACGAAATAAAACCAATTACTTCTAATTTATTGGTCGAAATAAAACAGATAATAATATTTTTTTAAGTAATTAGGTTAAATATAGGTACGTTTGAATTGAGGTTTTAATGATATATTCATAATTAATTTAATTCTTAAAACATCTAAATACGACCGTAATATATTTGACCAAGGAAAAAAAATAAAGATTAAACCTATATCTTAGTGGATAAAATTTATCTTATTGCACCTGCACTGAATGTTTTTTACACCACTAAAATATTGTATCCAACCCATACCCACTAGTATATTATTTTAAAATGTCAAGATATAAAAAAAAATTAATTTTAAATACAGTGAAATATAATTACTTTTATACCAAAAATCATAATAATCAAGACCACACGACGACGCGCAGAATTCTTATACGTGGAACAAAGTAGAAAGGTGGGTTTGACGAATATCACGAATCAACTAATTAGATCGAAAACTAATCATGAACTAATTGTATAAAAAATAAACTGTGTCAAAGTTCATAATCTTGACGATGAATTTTCATTCTACACGTGTGACACGTCTACTTTACATATTATATAGTCAACAATTCTGCCTGATGACACATACTTTTGTAATAGTTTAATTTTAGATTACCGATAATATAGTATCGTGTTTGGAATATAAAATTTATAAATTATAGCTTGGAAATTTTACACTAGTCGGTATGTGACATTTTTCAATTTCATCAGTAGTTTCACAGAACATTTTAATACCAAAATGAAAAATTACCGATGGCAATATGACTTTTACATTTCAACCATCTCAGTTAATTTTTTGTAGTATTGAAAACATCTCTTAAAATAATCAAAGATTAAGTTAATTTTAAATTTCTTAATAATGGTTCTAATTTATAATATGCACATAAGTTATAGATGGATAATGTACCTAATTCTATTTGGTTAACCTACTATTTATTATTGGAATTTATTGATTTTTTTAGTTGCTGAATATAATATATACTTGCAGTATTTTATGAATGCACTTTGATTTTCCTAAAATATTAAGTTCTGATAGTATAAAGTTAAGTTAAAATATTACTATAAAAACATTAAAATGTTTAATTTAAATTATGATTTTTTTCCCGAAACATTTACTTTCCTTTTTGATAATCATTTTTTTATTTTTACTTCTAAAATATATTAAATAATTGACTACCTACTGAAATACGTATATTTACATAACATGTCAGTCATATGAAGTAATAATAAGGTAAATAAAAGTATCAGTCGTCAAGTTTGGATCAATATAAAGTAAAATACAACTATATACAAGAATCCCTAAGAGTTAGTTCCGGTATAATCGAAAGTGTGGACAGTGTAGCTAAGTGAGTAAGGTCAAGCGCAACCAAGTAAAATGTCATTAAGTGTCACAAGTAGACACTGAGCACAAATATGCCACTTGATCCAACGACAAAAGGTCTGTCAAAAGTTGGGAATTATAGAAATAGTACTTTTTATCACAATAAAAATAATTTACATATTTTATTATATTGTTCAATGTTATACATCATATAATTGTTGAGATAAAATAACTCCATAGTTAAAATCACAATAAAGAAAAAAAATATATTATATTGTTATAATATAATTGTGATTGCAAATTCCACCGACCGTATGTTTTATATATGTATATCCACCAATACGAATTTATTACCTGTGAAAAACGTATAAATTTCACTTGTACTAATTGTTGATCTGTAAAATATATGTCAACACTAACGAAATTGTTTTTTAATTCTTAGTTAAAACTAAACTTTTTTATAATGCAGACACGCATTTACTTTCCCGATCTACGGCTAAAATTAAATACAAAGACTTTTAAATTCCATATAGACTATAACTAGATTAAATATTTGATGTTTTTGATTATTATCATATATCTAATGATAGTAATCAATTTGTAAAGTTGACATTTTGTTCTGATAATGCCCATAGAGCATAATTCTACATTTTCCCAAGTATAGGTATCTATAAACAGAGTTGTTGGCAAAATTAATTTTGATTTATTAATTTCTTATTGTACCCATATATACTTATATATATATATATATATTATAAGAAATTAATAAATCAAAACTAATTTTGCCAACAACTCTGTTTATAGGTACCTATACTTAATATACATGATATATATTATATAATATCATGTATATTATATTTAAAAATAATTGCGCATTAATATTTGCATTTGATTTTTTCATTATATAGGAGGAATTCACATTAATTTAGCATCGGCAAGGC